AATAATAATAATAGGGAAAATGAAAGGGCGAAATCTTGGTCAACAAATATATACCAATGAATTCGTGGAAATTTTGAATAAAAATTGATTTCTTTTGCATATATGATGTCGTTCATACCCCACACATTTCGTTTTAGTTTTATTTTCCTGTTGGAGCAACGTAATTCCTCATTTTGAATGCGTGTGTTCTAGAAAGAAATTGATGGAGCAATGTCACATATCATGCAAATTCGATTGGTAGAAGGGTGGAGCGGCTGACGGGAAGACTTGAGAACAATTTATATTAGATAATGCAGAGCACGTGTGGCTCGGTATTTGGTCGCTCGTCACTATCAAAACTCAACATACATCGAGTATTTAATTTAAAATCACTTAATAATAAATGAAGAGACACAAAACATTATATATTGTAACACAAGTCTTTAAAATGCTAATGTCGACTAGATCATTGATTAACTGCAACCATATACTTAAATATATAGTGCCAAACCCTCTAAATTCGATAATTTAATAACATGCCAAACCCTCTAAATTCTAATAAACGAATATTTCATTTCTAGTATACTACATTGTCTCCATCAGCGGTGGAATCATGATTTTAGTGTGAGGGGACCTCTTACAAAATATTTATAAAAATAATTTGAACTCACAATACATATATAATGACATCTTTACACTTTTTTTTTTCTTTTGGTAATCTACAAATTAATTGAAAGATTCATTGAACTCAATAGAGAATAATTCAAACTTTTACAAATCCTAACAAACCATAGGCAAAGAGAAAACAATAAAAAAAATTAAGAGAAAGATTAATAATCTTAATTAAGTAAGTCAACCCAATTGAAACTTGATAATTTGGCCCCAAAAAAAATTGAAACTTGATAATATATTATATGGAGAATAAGAGAATAAATAACCACAAATCTAAAGAAATGGGTGAAAATGACTCTTAGATTTGAAGGACTTGTGTAAAAAATAATAATATGTATACTAAATTTTTAGAAAATTGATCTAAAACATGAAAAAGGACGTAAACTTAAAGAGAAAACCCTAGAAATATTAGAAGTATCATAAAAGATATTAATATATAATATTTTTTTATTATAAAAATGAGAGGGGGCCGGGGACCACACTGGTCCCTTAGTAGCTCCGCCCCTGGTCTCCATTTAACGGCTTAAATCAAGCACAGTATTTTTGACTTTTGATGTCAATGACTTCATCAATAACTAATTTTCAGGGCATTAATAGGCGCCAAAATATATCATCATATGTCTTGACCATCTTGATTCAATTTGTGATTATGATTATGATTATAAAGCATAATTAATAGAAAAGGGATCTCTCTAAAAAAAAGAAAAAAAAAAAAAAAAAAAAAAAAAACCTAAAACCTTATCGTAGTATGATGATTGTTGTAGGACATGATTTACTCCCAGAAAAGGACCAGCTAAATGGTTTTCAACAAATTTGGCATATATCATCATCAATTGGATATAGTATGGAAAATTCATGTTTATCTTAAGCTTTGTGTTTGAAGTTGAAAAAAAAAAATCCATATATATGATAAAGACACCCACATGGATCGATGCATCTTAATCATGTGTGAATAATTTTCCCAGTATTTTTCTATTCATTATTGGCCGTTTGACAAACTCAAAGAACTTGTTATTTTTGTTCAGTTCATCAAATGTGTTAATTACCAATGTTTAATTACAATGGGATAAATTGGGAAAACCATCCCAAGTTTCAACTAGTTTTAAGGTCACAAGAGTAGCTAGGATAATGGATTATCTACTTGTTTTTGGCATTGTTTTCATGGCATGTTTACTCAGTTGGAATGACGGAAGTAAGGAATTGAAATTGGATCAACTACTCCACCTAATAGATTAAATTCTTGATTTTGAAGGTATTTGATTATATATTTTTGAGAGTTTCACTAAAACACCCAAAATGGGGGTTGAAATTATAAAAAAACTCAACACCCAAAACGCTTTATAAACACACCCAAAACCCATCATTACACACACTCAAAACCTATTTATAAACACACCCAAAAAATATACAATTGTTGATTTTGGGTATGTTTCTATGTTTAAATAGTGCTTGGGTTTTTATTATAAATACATGTCTAGGATTGGGTTTATTTATAAATTTGTATATATTTTAAGGTGAAATCCACATATATTTTTCTAAGAAAAAAATTCATTATGCATTAGTAAATGCGAGAAAATTTCATCTCATACTTTGTCTTCCAAAGTAAACATGTTCTTCTACTTCTTTTAGGGTTAAACTCAAGTCAAACTCAAAAATACTAGAAAATCCTTTCTTTTTTTTTTGGTATGAACTATGAGGTGGTCCTAGATGGGCCCAACTATGGGTGGCACCTTTAAGCCTTAACCACAACCCAGACTAATCCCCGCTCACACTGGGTCGGCCCGTAAGGGGTAAAGTGCTAGCCAAAATGGTGACTCCATACGAGAGCAGGGATCGAACCCCTAACCTTCTCTTAAGGAATGAGAGTGCCGAACCACTCACACCAACCACCTTGGTTTTAGAAAATCCTTTAACTCGTACAGAGACAACTCCGATTAAAAATTAAGAAATTTACCAAAACAAGTAGGAGGAGGTAGCAAGTCAGTTTCTTATATGTGCTGATAATGTAGGGATGGAATCATTTATATATTCAATCAGTTTCTATCCTTTTCAAGGAATTTCATTTTGGTAAGAGTTGAATTAATACTCATCCTAGCTAGCTAGCTATAATCAACAACTTCCATCTACAAAATAGCTAGCAAGCTAGGCTGATCTCATTAAATTGCACAAGGGACTGGTCACTGGTGTGTATGTGTGTGCTGAACCAGTTCATAAATTTCTCAAAATAAATGTTATTGTCAAAATAATAATAATAATAATATTCATTCAATAAATCTTTGATATTGCGTATGTAAGTAGGAGCTCCTATATTCATTCTAATAACATGCAGTGTGACATGTGAGTAAAAATTTATCTTCTTTTTTTTTTTTGCATTTTTAATGATTTTTATTTTATTTTTTTTGGTATATGTGTCAAACTGTGATTAGCAGGATTAATATCTCCTTACGGTACACTGCAATAGGTTTAGAATTGGAAACTAAACTACGGAAATTAGTGCGTGCAATGAAGTAAGTGGACTACAACTCAACTACCAATCTTTATAATTAAAAAAATGCATGCAGAAAACATATATATACAGATATTTCCTTCTTTTGCTTGCTTGCCGTACAGTAAAAAAGTCTTCTTTAAGCTCCATAGATGAAAACCATATCACAATATATAATGCAAAGGCTAATCTGCCACGCCTTTCCGTCACTGTCAAAACCGAAACTCGGTCACGGAAAGCATATTGGCTCTTCACTACCCATATATGGAACCTTCTTGTTTTGCTTTTTGTCTACAATTATACATTTTTTTTACTAGCTGTCTGCGTTGAATCTTTGGTTATTGGGCACACATAATTGATGTCACAAGTTTGAGTCGGTCACAAATGGGCAGCCAGTAGCATTCCTGCGTGCTTTTGTTCATGTCAAAAATGCTCATATTGCCATCACCTGGTCACATTCTGGCTAATTTTCAACTCGAAAGCAAATCAATGCACTATTTATACACATGGTATGCAAATAAAGCCTGTTGGTTTGATAGGGAAATGACATTATAGCACTTGTTGGACCGTGGAAAATGATTGTTAACTATCAATATATAGGTAGTAGTTGTGGTTCACACATCAATACGCATAATCAGTGTCATCTCTTGAGTCCTTCGTTTATCTATACCAATTTATTCATTTTAAATTATGATCGACACACATGATTCTCGTCAATAAAAGTACTCCAGCCTTAGGTTTTTTTAATATATATATAAATATATATATATATTACCATGACTTAAAATGTTGAGGTATCTTCTGTGGAATAATTATATGTTTCATAATTAAATAAAAAAAACATCTTTTCACACGCGACTTTTTTAAATCAATCAATAATATATATACACATACATATACAATTAAAGTCAATAATGATGAATATGATACCATGTATGATTCAGTTAATGTATCTCTTCCATACCGAATAATGAAATTATTGCCAGTTGCAAAACATCAATATCTTGTCGAGAACGACTGCACATCAAAGATGGAGATGGTTTTTGAGGCACAACTTCATGCGTACACAGATTACATTATTTTATATTAATTATAAATTTAAAAAAAAAAGACATTTAAAATATATAAATATAATAACAAGGCGTGAAATCGACAATATCCACATATCATATTCAACGACCGTCTCTATCAAACACGAAAAGAAATAATAACTTGAAGAAGAGTCAGATTGAGACATCAAATTGGTCTTTGCCTTCGATCTATTGAAGTAAGAGCATGTGTGGCTCTGACGATTGCATGGGAATGCAAATTAACACTACTTCTGTTGCATAGAGGTCAACAACAACTACCATTGTTATTTCAAAAGCATATCCATATTTGTTAAGAAATTAAAGTTCCCGTCGAATCATCTAACTATTCATAGACGATTGATAATTGTTGATTGATTATGACCACATTTATAACACTTGATTGAATCTAAATTTTGTGATGCAACTCATCAATCAATTATAATACAAATATATTACACTCAGAAACGTTTTGAACGTAGAATACTTTTTTGATTGTGTATAGTGATTTTATTTTTATTTTTCTAAATAAGAAACCTTTTAACCTTGTAATGTGCATATTGTGGTGGCCACATATCAAGTTATATAAAGATTTTGTGATGCTTCATGTTAATTAACCTGTCTAGCTACAGGGGAGAAAACGACTTCCCATCATGTTAATCTTAGGCCTAGTTTGGGATTACTGCCACTTTTAAAAAAAGTTGTTTTTGCTGTGCGTTGAAAATAATTAGCTATAAAGTAAAGTAGCTCCATGTTTGGTAAACAATATTTTTAAAGTGCTGTTATTACAAAAAGCAATGTCAAAATCGTTTGGTAAATTTGAATATAAAACTATTGTAACTGTGAATAATGACTAAAATATACATGATGTTGAAAGTGTTATGTGCTAATCATGTGGTGGTAATGGTGGCGGTGGAGTGGAGGTGCTGGTGAAAAATATGGAGGTGAAGTTGGTGGTGGTGGGGATGCCGATTGTGGAGGTGGTGGTGGCAGTGGCAGCGTCGTGGTGTTGGTGTTGGTTGTGGAGGTGGTGGATAAGGATGATGAGGAGGAGGATGTGGTGATGGTAGTGACGGTGGTTGTGGAGGTGGTGAATATGGTGGTGGAGTTGGATGTGCAAGTGGAGGTGGTGTCATTTTTTAAAATGAATAATGATATTTAAGGAATTTAAAAAATTCATTAAAGACTCATCTCTGCTTCTTTTGAAAGTTGCTTTGAAAAGCAATCAAGAGCCTACTTTTAAAAGTTGCTGTCAAAAGATCACTGCTTTTAAAATAATCAGAATATTTTATTTTTACCAAACACCTTAAAGTACTTAACTTTAAAGTTAAACATATTTTTTACAAAAAAAAAGCAATCCCAAACGGGGCCTTACTCACCCTAATGCTCCGTTTGGATGAAGGAATTGCAAATTACATAGAATTTTAAAATGACGGAATTTAGATTTCCGTCATTTCAATTTCTAGCAATTGAAGATTTCAGTGTTTGGATTTATGTATGTTGAATTTTGTAAATGACAGAAATTGAAAATTTCAATGTTTGGATAGCTCATGTAAATTATAAATGAAAGAAATTAAATATTTCGAAAGAACAAAAAAACTGATAACAGACATAGAAGGTATTCCTCGAAGTATGAAATAACATATCGTTTGATGAACTAAATAACTCAACTTAAACAAACAAAGCATATTAGCAAACCAAATCACTCCCCACGTGCAATGAACATCAGTAACATATATTTTTTTTTCTCAATTGGGAGTGCCTATGGAATTAGAACTAGAAGCAATCAGCAATCAAGACCCTGATACTTCTTTTTCACTTGGCAAAAGACCAATGACCAGAGAAACTAAAAGGGCTTTGATTAAAAAGTTGCAAACAAAAGTATAGGAATAAATGATGAAATCAATTAATCACTATCATAAGACTTAATTCAAGTCCCAAAGAATGAAGGAGCACCTTGGCCAAGCTGCAGCTTACGGGCAAGTTGGTGTAGCTTACAATCAACATCTAATGGCTCACACAAAGCGATAAAGCTAACAAACAACTACAGAGCAAGGCGACAACACAAAGTGATAAAGCTAGCAAACAACTACAAAGCTGTACCATAAACACCAATCACACACCAATATCCATGGGCATAGAGTATTTTGTTAAAACTTCCCAAAAATCCAGCCACAATACCGCAAAGATCACAAAACCCATTCAACACATTCATAAATTTAGTCAGAAACACCCAATTTTGATAGTCATTCAGAAACCATGGTAACCCTAAAATAAAATATATATAAATTGAAGGAGAGAAAGGCTTGAAGACTAACCTTCAAACTTGATCCAAAGAGCCATGTAACCCAAGAAGAACTCCTTCTTCTTACTTCTCTGGCTATACTCAGTTTCATAGGCTTTTGGCGTTGTTTTTTTTAATGAAAAGTTTGGTGGGTTATTTTTTATGTAAGTTTTGGCACACTGGAAAATATGAATTCCCACACTACGGTAATTGTGAAATGACGCCTATTTTGGTGGAAATTAAACTCGGGAATTTGATGCCTCAATTTCCATGATTTTTTCCACGCGTCATTTAATAAGTTCCGCGTTTAAGTTGCCAAACAAGGGAATTGTCAATTTCTCTTCTTCAATTCCTGACTTTTATCTAAATTCCGAGTTATTTCCCTTGTCCAAACGGAGGGTAAAAAAGCTAGAATCAACTTTTAACAAAATCAAAAGATTCATTCCCTTAATCAAATTAAAACTTGTCTATCATGTATGTAAGAAGGCAGCCACTGTAATTAACCCGAGCGTTTTGCACTATCAAATGTTGCAATCTTATTATAGAAACTAATGATAAAGAACATCATTCTAATTTAGATTCGAATGTAAAATAGTATGTAAAACCGATTAGTTGAAAATGTAATCTAAAAATGTCAAATTCTGAACCATTTAAAATTCCTAATCAACCACTCAATTGGTCGTCCTCACTTTCCCTAAATTCTAAGCATGAACATTAATATTCCATCGATTTGGGCATGGCCACGACTTGATGAATCATGAGGATGCCTTGAACCTAGAACGAAAAGCCAGAAAGAATTACATGTCGTGGTCAATTAAAGATGGTGTTAACAACAAATTAAAATGGACCAACACTAATGTCTAGTATTGTCTTTATCACGATTAGACATAGGATGGATGCATGGATGGATGGAAAAAAATGGGAGCTGAAGTCGGTACCTTGGGATAAGAGTTATTGCCCAACAAAAGGTTACAAGTTTTGTTCTTCTTTCTTTTTACTTTTTGAGCCAAAAAAGGTTAAAAGTTTAGCTTGATATCAAGTCGACACACATTGGTAAATGGTCAGCAATTATAAAGGCATGCCAAAGTGTGGTCAGAATAATAAGAGATTTAACCACATGCACACTAGACTATAGTAAGCAATCTGAAACCACCCACCACCAAAATTACTTTACTTCAATGAGAGTTGGATTTGTTCGAATGGGATGAAAGATAAAGGATATGCATTGAGGAATTTTTCAAGAATTTCCAAGATACCAAAGTTGTAATCCAATTTCACTTTCTTTCAATCTCATCACATTCCACTCATACATCATGAATTTGAGCATCAACAAATTTGGGTTGCTTATTACATGGATGGGAGGAGTTTGTAGGGATTTTTCTTTGTAGCTTGCTTTTGGGATCAAATACTCATACACACGTCTTTCTAACATATACTAGCATCACCCAAAAAAGCTAGTGAGATGATTCAATAGGAAAACAGCAGAAAACCAAGTCAAGGAAAGAGTGCACAATTAAGTCAACCTTCTCGTGTGACAGAAATTTGCTAGTTGTACTTCACCCAAAAACAAGTCGACGATTCCTGTATCCCCAAGTAACCCTTTTCTTTAATACCAACCGCTTACATAGATTCTCTCTCTCTCTCTCTCTCTCTCTCTCTGCCCATAAATACCCCATCAAATATCACTGCCTCTCCAAACTACTCTCCCCCTACAACAAAAACCTCCTCTCAGTTATCTCTCTCTCTCTCTCTCTCTCTCTCTCTCTCTCTTTTTGCACACACAAACCAAACGCTACACAAAGTGTAAGACAGCTATACTAGATTAGAAGCCTCATCTTTCTCTTCTTAGTTTCTACAACCCATATCTCTTAGATTATTAGATATTTGCAGCTCCAAATTAAGCAAATTTACAACCATGGTGGCAGCCTCTCCAAACCCAATTCACAATGAAAAGATCGAGGCCATTGAGCTCCCCATCATCGACCTTTCGGCCGAGAGGTCCCAAGTGAGGAATCTCATTGTCAAAGCTTGTGAGGACTACGGTTTCTTCAAGGTCATCAACCACGGCGTCCCTCAAGACATTGTAGCCAAACTAGAGGAGCAAAGCCTCAACTTCTTTGCCAAAACAATGGCCGAGAAGCAAATAGCCGGGCCAGCCATTCCCCTCGGTTATGGCTGCAAGACCATAGGCTTCAATGGTGATATGGGAGAGGTTGAATACCTTTTGTTCAACACAAACCCAATCTCCATTGCTCAAAGATCTAAAACAATCTCAAATGAGCCTACCAAATTCAGGTACATCAATTATTTATTTCTTTACTTTTTTTTTTGTTGGTTCTTTTTGTATGTTTTAGTTTATGCTTTTTTTTTTTTTTTTTTTTTTTTTTTTTTTTTTTTTTTCCTTGGTGTTTTTCATTCTTTATGATGAAGGTACTTTTTGGCTAGAATATATTAAATGAAAGACGGTCGGGGGAAGGGGTAACAAATTTTGGTGTAGGGTTCGGGACAAACTGTTCATTATTTACTAGGCATTCACTCTTTTTTTCCATCTTGGTGTTTTTCTACTTCTTTTGAATTCATTTCAATTTCTTTGCTTATGCTCGTAGAAATTAAAATGAAAAATAATAAAAATACTAGTCATATCACCTTGTGTATCGAAAGTGAGATTCATTATATTGGTGGGCTCCGAAAATAAACATAAAGAAATGTAATAACCATTTTTCACGGGAATTGTTAAAACCATACCAACTTTCAAAAGTCACATGGGAACTAATTTAGGGAGATGATTCTCTCCTGGATGGTGGGATAAGCTGTCAATTAAATTGTAGAATTCGAAGAAAAAAACAAATAAATTTAGGATCTTTTAACACAAGCACATATTTTCGACACGCAATGTATACGGCGAGTGGAGGAGATGAGAGGAGAGCTGCATGTGTTTCTCCATTATTGAATTACGAATGGGAAGAGAGTGAAATCCAGTACAATACTGTTCCACTGTCCCAATATTGAAAATTGGGAAATCAGAATGACAAGTCGGAGGCAGAGGCAGAGGCAGAGGCAGTGGCACTGGCACTTCAAGAAACGTCTAATCATACCAAATAAAAAAAAACTAAATTATTATCATTATTATAATTTTATTGTTGGGTTTTTGAAAGAGAAATATGAATTTTAAATGGGCCAAAAAAGGAAACAGCTTCCAGAATTAGATGGAAGATGCCCCAGTTGCAAAGACTTTATTATTATTATTATTATTTTAAAAGAAAACAGAAGAAAAAGAGAAAGGGTCAGAGTCCAGAGTTGTAAGTCTGCTTGCTGCTGATGAATTGAGTGGGTATTTTTGTGGTACATTTTACAGCTCTGCGGTGAGTGGGTACATTGAAGCAATGAAGGACTTGGCATGTGAGATTCTGGATTTGATTGGTGAGGGATTGTGGGTCCCAGACACATCAGTGTTCAGTAGGATGATCAGAGACGTCGAAAATGACTCCTTTTTCAGGCTCAATCACTACCCACATCATGTAAACAAGGACTGCACCAACAACATCAACAGTAGCTGCAGCAGCAAGGTTGGGTTTGGGGCGCATAATGACCCTCAGATCTTGACCCTCCTCAGATCCAACGACGTGGGTGGCCTCCAAATCTCTCCACGAGATGGGCTGTGGGTCCCTGCTCCTGCTGACCCCACTGCATTTTGGGTTAATGTGGGTGACCTGTTGCAGGTTGGTCTCTCTCTCTCTCTCTCTCTCTCTATTCATTCATGGTAATCATAACAATCTTAAAAAGGATGACTGGAAACTGAATATTGAATTGATTGAAAACTGACTGAGAATTGATTTGGGTAAATCACTGCCATTTTGACTGCATGTAAGCTTTTGTATTGATGGTGAAGTGGGGGCCCACCATATCAGTCCATAACCAATCAGAGTTTGTGGTGGGGGACCGGGGGATTGATGACTAGACATTGGATAATTGAATGACTAGCCAGCCAGATAGTACTGAAAAGTGGTTTTGTTGGTTGGTCAGTATGCCATTTATGGGCTGTTGGGTTGGGCAGCCTAGATTCTCTCTCTTCTCTCTCTCCAAACCTTTCTTCCTAAACTTCTCTGAGGAATATCATAACCACCTATTCAGTCAGTCAGCAGTGCCATTTATCATGGTATGTTCCCTTTGGTTGGGTCCTTGTTCCGGATACTTCTTCCTTTGAATATATGTGCTTGGAATTTGTCTATGCGATTCGGATTTCATACATCTCTCATCACGTGATTATACTATGAAAGATGCAATATAGATATAATAAAAATATAAAACCCGTTATGATAAACTCTTTTCTCAACATAAAATAACGTAAAATCCTTTATCGTTTGTAACAATAAAAATTGACTCATTGTAAACTCGATGAATAGGCATTCCTCTGGTAGACAAATAGAAAGGAAAAAAAAAGGTTGTCATAACGTCTTCCAAAGTAGCTAAAAGAACTTTAAAAGAAAAGAAAAGATATGGTTGCCACAACTTCTTCATGGGACACCCAGATGCAACCTAAGAAAGGTGCTCATTTAAGGTAGTCATGTCTTGGGATAAAAGATGCTTCCTTTTGGTCGGAGAAAAAAGAAACGAAAACAACTACTCATACATAATTCAAATTTTTTTATTATTTTTCTAAATTTTTTATGACCACATATGTAGCTAAGTCCACATCAGAGTCATTCAACCCGCTCTGTAATCATGTCAAATTCAGAGAGATGAGTCAGCGGCCCACTCCTAGCAACACCGATATTGTCCCGAACTTAACCACCTACAAAGCCCAGTAGGTGTGAGGTTTTATCACAAAATGCCTCAAAGATATTAAGGTTTTTTAGGTTTTAGACATAAAAAAATTTTCACTTTTGGAAAAAGCCAAAGTTTTTTCAAAAAAGACAAAAAAACCGCTCAACTTTCAAATCAAAGACATACAAATGTATTGGATTCCTTAGGAAATCTAAAAATAAATAAGGGCATTTTTGTCCATTTTTGCTTCTTTTAAAATTTTTCTCTCTCCTTTTGCTTTTTCCAAAATGTCCCAAGATATTAATATTGAAACCATTTGTTATATATTGTATTTTATTTAGTCAAGTTTCCGATTTGGAACTTATATTCTTCAACACTACAATGTGCTTCTAGTTTGATTAATTAGTTGTGTTTTATCTAATAATTAATGCGTTTAATGTGAAGGCCATGACAAATGGAAGATTTGTGAGCGTGAGGCACAGAGCTTTAAACAACTCCTCCAACTCCAAGTCAAGAATGTCCATGGCATATTTTGCAACTCCACCCCTAAATGCATGCATCAATGCTCTTCCAGAAATGGTCACACCAGAGAAGCCTCGTCTCTACAAACCCTTCACTTGGGGTGAGTACAAGAACACTCTTTACTCTCTCCGCCTCGGCGACACCCGGCTAAACCTCTTCAGAGCTTCGACAAACGATGAACTTGCTTCGTAAATTAAGGCGGGCAGCAATGGAGAGTAAAAGAAAATAAAATAAAGGCAGTGAAAATATGAAAGCAGCTTCTAGTCAAGTTGGATTTTTTTTTCTTTTTTGGGTTTTTCGGGTTGCAGTTTTTCCTAAAGTATTTCATACTCAACAGTTCAAGTCATAGACTTTGTACTTAGAAATGGGAAAATGTCGTACTTAATCATCAATGAAAAGAAGAAAAGTTTTTATCTAAATCTATTATCCTTATTTAGAAGAAAGGAAAAGTGCCCTAGTACTATTTAAACCTGGAACCCCACTAAAACAATGATTTTGTGGACATCTTAGGTTTCTGAGGTGTGTGTTGTGTATATATTTATTTATTTAAATTTTGTTTTGTTTTAAAAAAAGTCAAGCATCTTTCTTGGTGCAGTTCTCAAGAGGAAGAATTGTTGGTGTATGCACGGGGGCTTACTGTACAATCAATGGACCCCCCCGTGCGAGAGTCCAGCTCATGGCATGGATAGAATAATCTTTGGTAGGTGACCAACTATGAGACTATGGACCCTTTGTTTTTGCCGTCCTCCTCCTCCTACCTTCATTCCTTCATTTATTCATTCATGGACCAGAGGCAGACTGCGCCATAACATACAAGTGCATTATAGGCATTTCAAAATAGTTCCTGCTTTTCTGTGACTGGATGAGAGAGAGTGCCCCTTTTAGCCATTAACTTAACATCACTCTTCCCTTACACGCAAGAGACTTGCTAATTCTGGATGCATACATATATACAAGCGGTCACGTGATGTGTTCTAAACGAGAAAGACATACCTATTTTGGGTACATACAAGTGGTCATGTGATGTGTGTTTTAAGAAAATGGGGGTATGGAATGGACCCAAAAATAGGTAAGTTTTTCCGCTCATGACAGTATAATAATGTAGGGGGTAAGAATTGAACCGAAAAACATCATAATCATGTTTTCAAGTTTTGATATATAAATGTAGCACTTATTGGTTTAGATGTAAGACTAATGTGGTATTCGCCTTCCACCTAAGCTGCGCAGGAAAGGCCCAAAGCCAATCCCAGGGAACAGTGGGGAGCTTCTATAATGAGGAGTTAAAGTGAGGAGGTTATTTGAGGAGACCGATCCGACCGTCAAAACATTTAAAATATTTAAGTCCCATGATTTCTTTACATTTGTTGATGGTGAGATTTGACCTCCTCAAATAACCTCCTCACTTTAAGCCCTCATTATAGCCTTTCCGGGGAACAGTGAAGCTTCACAGGGTCATTCTGTCCAGATGCAGGTAGTCCGCATCTTGTCCCCACATAACACACAGAATGTGGGCCCCAACTGCGTCCTGCAACTTAGCTTAAGGAGCGAGAAGGTGGGTGGGTGTCTCTGTGTAATGTGACTTGAGCAATCTCTAACAATACCTGCAAAACGACTAATTTTCCTCAAATCAATTTTTATTTTTATTTTTCTGTATTTTGCTTGGATACGATCATACGATTCAAGACAAAATTCAAGTTTAAAGTTGAATAATCTTGAACTAAGTTGCAGACAGAGAAGCTGAATGATTAAATAATCTACTCGGACAAACCTAATTTCGATCCACAAAATGAAATAAGAAAAGCAATTTGTTAATCGTGTAAACAGGGTACATGATACATGGAATTGTTGAGCCATAAAAAGATAGGCTATACGGGCTAAAAGGCTCTCCTAAAACTCAGCCTTTCAACCACAAATCAATCAATCTGTATTTCAATTAATGTTCTACAGAATATGTATTTTACACAAGCTGGCTGTTAGAGAAATTCTAATGCCTTTTCTTGTTTTAGAGCAAGTCATCACCAAATCATCTGGTATGGTTTTATTAGTTACCCTCACCACCGTGCCAAGAATCCCTATGAGCATAAAGAGATCCGTCTCGCTAAACCGCAATCTGAGATTTTGCAGCCAAGCGCGAACACTTCTTTCGACCGGTTTTGGTGAGTGCACACACACAAGTCTCCAGAAGTTCATAATCCTCCTCCCACAACAACAATGATGCCTTCTCAGGGTTCTCCAACAGCATCTTTGAGGTTAGGTAACCAGCAATCGTCCAAGTCTGGAAAAGCCGGGATTGCTTGCCTATAAATCTCCCACTTTTAGTGTCGTAATATTCAGGCCAATGATCCGCAGAAAGCCTCTTCTCTGCCAAATCAACTGCCTTTTGTGCTAACTCGGTCCTCCCCATCTTGATGCAAGCCAAGGTGAACTGAAATAATAACAGAGGACAGTTACAGAAATCAGATAATCTGGTTGCGGAATATGGTAATAATAACTCTCCCAATTGTCTGGATCCCTTCCACAAAAAGAACCCAATAGAAAGGGGGACAATCCAAAGAAACTCATTGCATGAATCAATACCTGCCATAGGAGTGTTGGCCAAGACCCACCATTATGATATGACCATGGCCTACAAGTGAAGACAATCAGTGCATAAGTAAAAATTTCAACCGGGAGAAAAAGCTACGCGTCTAGTCAGGAAATTTGCAGAACAATGTAGTAGTAATAAAGAAAATAAAATTTAGAGAGCCTCACGTATTCTTTGGGTCACCACCAGTAATTATTCGCCATTCTTCATACTCCAGAGCAGGGTAACAAATTTTAAGGGGCATTTGAGCCACGAAATCATCCCATTTGGCTTCAATCAAATTTAAAATACCCTCATTCTGTTTGTGGGTACCCAGAGATGATACAATAGACCAAAGATTTCCAAGAGTGAAGAACCTAAAATCCATATGAGCAGGTTGTAGATTGCCAATGAGGTAACCACCTTCCTCAGGAATCCAATCAACTAACCAGGATGGAATTTGATCTGGATAGATATTGAACTTGTTGACAGCATCTGTAGAATATTCCTCTGTCTTGTAACGATAAATCTCGTTGATCTTCTTCATATCCACCCAATAATATTCTCTCATATGAAATGAGAGTGCACTAAGTCTGTTATTGATTGCAGCCACCAAATCTTTTGTGCTATCATTGACAATGAGCATTTCACGGGAGCATCTTAGAGCTGAATAGAACAACGCCTGTAAAATCAGATTTGTTAAGTAAATAAAACCAAAGGCAATAAGAAGCAAGCAAGATAATGGGTCAAATAAGGAGGCAAGCACAGGGAAGCATCCAGCTAAGAGCCTAGGATATGACATGTACAAAGGCACTACACATTTTTAAATTTTCCAACTTACTTGGATTTCAAGAGGGTGTCCATGAATACCCATCCGTCTATCAATCATACAGGAACCATCAGTGACTAACAGGGTAGGAAACATGTCAAATCCATTTTTTAAACACAGATTAAGGACCAGCCTTATGCCTGTCTGGAAATCTACCCTTTCTTGTAATGCATAATCACCAGTGATCTTTCCATAAGCTCTCAATAAGATGATCCACCACAACCCTGTCAAGGTAGTTAAAATAAAAATCAGACACTATTTATGCCAATTCTAAGATTGCAATGTCCATATGCTCTCCTAAAACTATACCATGAAAGATTGTTTATTGAACATCAAGTGTGCAGCACTTAGCCCAACCAAAATGAAAAGAAAACAGAAAAAGATATGCAGCAGTTGAGCAGCTATAGGGAAACTCTAATAAAACTGAACTAGTACTTTACATATGACACAGCAACCAGCAAAATACAATTAGATTACCTGAATCAACAGGTGCAACACGGCCAATGGCTGATTCACCAAAATCAGGATCTAAAACTTCCTCAAATGCTCCATTCATTCCATCAAGAGGTACAGTCTTAACTTTAAAGCTTGCCGGCATCAACCCTTGCCCAGGGCTGTGGCAGTCAACCGTCTTCTCCCAGCTCTAACAAAAGACCAAAACAAAGTTAATTAGATGAGATGTCAAAACAAATGTGCCAATGCTCAATGAGGAATCAAATTTACCAAAACATATTTCAACAGCATGCCAATTTATGTTCTTACATCACCATAGAGGTATCGATTAAAGTAACAAACTGGTAAAATTTCCTATACAAGGAAAGCAAGGGGCAATGAAAAAAATCTCAGAATCAACAACTCTAGCAACGAAGTTGAATTAACATTGGTTCAAGAATTTGTTCTGGGAGAAAAACAATTTATAGCATTATCATATTAACATGACTGAAAGTTGTCTAGAAGACCTAGTGCGAACGTATAGTTCACCAACAACAAATAACTTAGTTTTGTCATCGGCGATTTTCAAGGAAAACAGATATACCTATATAATCAGATAAGTGGCTTCAATGACTCCAGAATCATTTGGTGATCCCATTTTGTAAAATACCTTTGTACTTTTAAATGCTTTGTTGAACATTAAATTCAGACATTTTAAAAAGCACCATTTCTTGTAGTTTTATTAGAGATCCTACATCATCAACTGTGTTAATTGTACTAAGTTTTTTTAATGCTCCAATTGTGGATAAAAAGTATTATATTACTGAGAAATAGAATTTTTAAACTGTAAACCATATGATCCACATGAGAAATGTAAATTCCACCAATTACATTCAGAAACTAGTGAAGTTAATGAAAACATAACATTATGTGAAACTGTTAAAACTCATGACATTACCTGTAACTGCAAAGTGTGAAGCAGAAAATTCTTGACAATATCAGCTTCTCCATTGAGCAAGAAGGCGAGTGCCGATGGGACAAAGTCTCGAATGAAGACCTGATCGTAATTGAGCGGTGTCTTGTCAGCCGGATCAGTAGCAGCAAGAGTTCCCACTGGATTCCCACAATAACTAACAACTGAATCCCGAAGCAAGCTCCAGGCTTCCTTTTCAATATCAGACAGCTCTCTCTCATCCTTGGTGTCATTCAAACCCTTGGAATTACCTATATTTACATTTACATTTGAGCCATTAACCTCTACCCTAGACTCTTCTTCTCTGACTACATCACCATGATCTGTCTCAATCTTCTCTATCACCAAAGGTTTCACATTCAACCGACCTTGAATATAAATACTTTCGAAGGAGGTCTTCCCATTAACCTGAGTTTCCACCGAGGTCGAATGGTTCCTAATATCCGACGCTACATTTGGGATGACTAAAATACCCCTTCTACTACTACTACTATTACCAACACGACTAGTCGTCTTGCAAACCCTAGTCTGACCCCAATTCAAATCGGAAACACTAAAAACCCTCCGATTCGGATCACTTATACGTATGTACCCTACAATCTGAGAATTACAGCTACGTTTTTGACGTCTCGATTGTAATTTCGACAAACTATGAGTCACTATATCGTTCAATTTCGGCTGCGGTGAACCGAAAACTGAAGAACTTCTGGAGCCATAGCCCATGAGAATTCTACAGCATGGCCTCATGGTACAGATTCCAATACAATTGCTACTACTCATTCTATGTATATTACACTGATCAATTAATCCCCTAATTTTTTTTCCCTTTTCTTTAAAAAATTGTACTTTGTTCTAATATTCAGGCTCTGTTAATCTCGGAAAAATTAGAAAACAGAGAAAAGATTGAGTTTATATATATACAGAAGAATTATTATAACAAAATTCTACAGAGATTTCAAATTTGAACGTAAATGGAAACAGAAGAGAACGTTACTTACAGTTGATCTGAGCCAAAAGTTTGAATGAATGCGAGAGAGAAAGAGAGAGAGAGAGAGAGAGTGCGTCTGAAGCAATTTGCAGATGAGGAAAGCGTGTTGAAGGCGGAGGTTTTATAAGCACGGAAAAGGTGAAAGTCAGTTGGATGGAAATATAAAAATGGAGGTTGTGTGGCTGTTAACTACATTAATAGCCCTGCACGTGATAGGTTTATTGCGAAAAGGGGCCCAAAGGGGGATGTATGCGCAAGGGTAAAAGTGTCTTTCCGATGTTCATTTCTGAAATGGATCAGAGGGGTAGGTTGTGGACCCACAGTGTTTCGGTCTTTAGAATTAAAAAAAAATGTGCGGAATTCAATAAAGCGCGCGTTTGGGGTTTTTTTATTTTTTGTACGACGTGGGGATCTGCGATTGGCCAGAAGGAGATGCTCCAATAGTGACGGAGAAAAATCTATACGGAAACGCGTGCGAGGTTTGAGGTATTGACCAGATATCTTTTTTGGGTCAGAAATTGACCAGATATCTTCCTCAACAACCCCTGCACGTTTAGCGTTTAAAACCTAACTTCATTTGGGCCAAGGAAATTGGGCTTGACATTAAAGATGGGTTGGGTTGTCATTGAATTAAGGGAGATTCACTAATATACCCAATATAGGAGCCCAAATTATAAAAAAACCCTATATGAAATGGAATTTATAAACACACCCAAAACTCATTTATAACATAACAAAAAGGCTTTTAACTTCTTTTAAATTACAAAATTGCCATTGATTTCTTAAAACAAACCCAATCCAAAATTTCATAAAAAAGCCCAAAACACTCAATAGGGTATCAAAGTAATTTAATAATTAAATTTAAATTTAATAGTATCATTTGTCATTTTTTGGGTTTTTTTTGGGTATGTTTATAAAAATGAAATGATGTAGGATTTATTTATAGTTTTAGTGCTAAGAATGGGTATATTACTAAATATCTCTTGAAGTAATCCAATTGGGGCTGCCTCGTATCATCTCTCAAATAGATATGAGACTCATTGTATTAGTGGTTTCTACCTCTATTGGAGAGACGATACACAAATTGGTCTCTAAAGATAGTCTCTCTAACATGATCCAAAACCTAATCATATCTCGTACTAATGATTTTTTTGTGTGGTTATAATAGAGGGAATCGAACATTTGACATATCAACATCTTCGTTTGTTACCTTATTCTCCCTCATTAATTGGCTAACCCCCAATGGCTAGAATGCACTTAGCACTTTCTTTTTTTTTCTTCTTGGAAATCTTAATTGCGCTCTTCACATATAAGTTTCTCAAAATTCTATTTTGGCAAAAAGTCACTTTGGGTCCTTGTGGTTTATCATTTTTACCACAAAGATCCATGTGGTTTCAATTTCGTCATTTTTGCCTATGCGGTTTCAATTTGAAGCAATCTAAAGACAATTCTTAATTTTCGTCAAATTTTTTTAATTTATGTTATTAGTTTAGGGACAGTTTGGTCCACAAATTTTTTAAAACATTAATTCCTTTTAAAATTAAACAACACAAATATAAAGTTAAAATAAAATAAAACAAATCATTCCACTCATATATGAGTTGAAACCAAATTTGGACATCAATATATTGGCGCTGTTTGTAGGAATCAAACCCACAACCACACGGTTCACATCGCAAGTTATTAAAGGCGTCTTGAATATTTATATGTGAGAAAGGACTCCAGTACCATGAAAGTTTAATACAAAGTGTCAAATAAACACCATAACAAAGTGCTGCATGTTAGCGTTAAAAATCCAACTTGAGTTTTGGGCCAAGGAAATTCAGGTTAGTTAAACTTGGTTAATGCCTTTGAAGATGGGTTGGGTTGTCATTGAATTCATCTAATTGGGCCTGCCTGAAATAACCTAATCATATCTTCCAATTTAAGAATGGAGCATGCTTTGCTTTGCTTCCATTACAGAGGCACATGAGAGAGAGAGAGAGAGAGAGAGAGAGAGAGAGAGAGAGAGAGAGAGAGAGAGAGTTTAAACCTTAACCCCTAATAAGGTTAAGCTAAGCAAACTTGGAGTTGGTGATTAAGATAAACTTGTATTTAAATAGTAAATCCACTCCCGAAGTACAATTTTTAATTACTTTTTTTTAGTAAAAGAGGAATGTTCTTGATGTTGAACACCGTCATTGATGGCGTATAGATGAAGTGGTTCCACTAATTGCGTACATAAAATATATGATTTATATATATTGGTGGTGATGGATGATCATGAATCAAACTCAGCTGCTTGACCCGTGTTTACGTGTAAAATTATATATGAATGAATGACTAATAAAAATTCTTTTTTGAACTTGAAATTCCAGTCAAGGCACTACTTGGTAGGCTGTTTAAAATTTAAATCAAATACCATATTCTCATGTCCACAACGATCCACTTGATAGGCAAATATATGGCGCCATCTGTGGCTGGTTTTAGTCCACACAGCGTACCGCGGGTTTTGACCCATCCTTACATTTGTCGTTTAATCTAACCTATGCATGTATCTCTTAATTCAGATTAAGAGTACTCATGCTTCTACCGACTAGCTCATAATGTAATGTACTGGTATCTCTGTTTTCGATATTGAAACAAGTCACAACTTCGAATCCTTCTCTCTATCTAATTTTTATTTTATTTTTTATGTTATGCTTTTCCCGGCCAATACACCATATTGGCACAAACACAAGGATACTTAAAATTGAAAAATAAAACTAAAAGAGAGATATTAGAAGGAAAATAAGGTACTTCGATCGGCAAGTATATGAAGTTGGAGGGTGCCCTATCAATGAATCATCTCTCATTTAGTGCTCATGTGCGATTGCAAACTGTTGATTAGTATTTCAAAACCTTATATTTTATGCCCATACATGGATATGGGTATGTGGGTGGCCATTGACATCCATGCTTTTCATTCAACTCTGCTGTCCCTTTGAGACCATGAAGAAATATTAACGTAAGCAGAATCATCAATTTATGCTTGAAATGTATAGCACGTTAACTAAGATCAATTGAGGAAATGCCGTATTGAGAATCCCAACCCAATGCTTGTAGCTAGGAAAGCTATTGCTCGCATTCATTTACCCAATTCAGCAAAATACATAGCATGTTCAAGGATTAATTAATGGTGTTCATGACGTAACAAAAGTTTGTACGTACTAAATTTATAGGCCATATATATAGACAGATCATGCTATAGCTCCACCTTAATCACAAGCTAGCCACGCATCTAATTCTAATATGGTTTAGGTTTAGGTTTAAGTACACCTTTCAATCATATCTATGCTTCCAATTTGAATTCACTAATTCCATTTCTACGGTTATAATAATTTCAACACATTCACTGTATTTGGAGATTGCCTATCGGTTTCAAACTTAGTTTCATAAAAATAAAAATAAAAAAGAAGAAATCAATCAGAAGGAAAGGCGGAACCAAGAATCGTCATGCGGATTGGTTATAATAATTTTTTTTCGGTCTATTACTTGTGAATGCTTAATAAGGTGCGGTGGACTAATTTCTACTAAATAGGGTGAAATTTCTATAATTTACCGATAAAGTTGTAATTTTTGAAAAAGTTGCACCGGACTGAAGCTCATCTTAATTAGAAGGCTAGAAAACTGAAAGGATAAGGACAAAATGGATTAAGAAGTTTGTATCTGGACAACAAACGTCACACAGTTTTGTACGTAGTTCCTAATCAAATTTGATTCCTTAATTATATCATCAATGTAATCACGCTCCCTAACCAAACTGGATAAGCACAATGAATCAATGACATAATATTCCAACTACGTATACTAAACCCTAATAGTACGTTGTTAATAACTTAAAAGTGGAACCCTAACAGGAGCACTCAGTTTATACATTACGGGTCGGAAAGATCTTCTATACATTTCAAGACATGAAATTAACTGGAAAGACAAGACACAATCGACAGCTAGAGCTATCCCATAATCTCTTGAGAAAATTTGTGGCTGTGAGGGCCTTTGACGAACCTAAAGTTGGAGCAGCAGACATAGATTATATAGGAACCTCGCTTTCAACACAAAGCTTCACGCAATTGATCATCAACGATGAGACATTTTAAAAGGGTAAGGGAAATGGGAATGGGAATGGACGACACATCTCAATCAGCTCAGGATTATTGTTAGCGAAGAAATGAGAGAAAAGTGATCCAGGGTAGCATGTGTTTTATGGCATGTACAATTTTTTTGGAGTCGATTGATTGATGTGTGTATAATAATTGGGGGTTGAGGTGGTGGTCCAAGTGTTTTAGTACCATGAAAAGAAATACATGTGGGCTCGTCTCTAAGCACACGGCTCCGGAAATTATGAAATTTTGTCTGTGAATCTGTGGTTATTACTATTATCATTATAAAGTATATAACTCATAATAAGCAAACATGTGTGGCCCTAAATGTTCTCTAATTGAGGAAGTACAATGGCTGCTTTATTGGATGGTCTTCATTCACCAGTGATTTTGTTTGCATGAGGAACTAGAGAGTAGCTATAACTTTAAATCTCTCAAAGTACAAACTGATTAATTGTATCAAACCCGTCTTTTATATTAGAGCTTACAAAACTAGATAGTGTTAATCGTTCTTACGTATACGCAGAATGTTACCGTTTTATACTAGTAAGAACTAGTTTGGGTATAATTTCCTATCATGATCGTGAACATTAGCGTTTAAAAACAATTATATTTCAAGGTTAATGTATATATAGCAAAAGATTTTATGCTAACTAATTAACTGACTAATAAAATTAGTGTGTGCATGCATGGCACTGTACAGATTATAGGTTCAAGTTATTTAACTTTTATGTAGCTCAGCTTTTGGGATTGCTTGATTATTTTATTGATCAGTCATATGAAGAAGACTACTGAGCTACAAAATCTCAAAGACTTGCTGAAATCAAAGCATTTGTTGCTTTGATCAGTCCACCCTATAAAAAATTCTCTGTACCAAAACTGTCATGCATCCATGGTAACTCAGAACTCATCATCAACAGTATTGGCCTAATTAGCATACCGTAGCTCCACTTTTCATCAGATAGCTTAACAACTAGATTCTACAAGCTAGGCCTAGGGATTAATATGCTTGATCTTTGGCTATAATTAGATGGATACTACTTGTCTCATTCTCTAGAGAAAAAAAATACTCTTCTTTCCAACAAATCACGGTTTGATACATGTGCAAAAATAATTCATATAAAAACACAAGAAGAAAAACGTATACACACATTATATCAAATTACCATTGGCAGGAACGTAAGAACTCCTTTAGGAAAGAGGGGAGTATTTTCCTAACCTGATTTACTATTCTTTTGTCCTTAAGAGAGCTAGGTCTCTACACGCATACAAGCTCACACACATTTTATAATTCAGGTCTCAAACTCAGCGCTAGTTAGGTAGAGACAAAACTTTTTGCCACTACACTAGTGGGGCGCCGACAATTCGTTGATTATAAATGTGATTGCCGTAAAAAATTGAGCCGAGATGGGGATATCTTTTTGTTCTTATCAAAATGAATATCTGTTTCTAAGGTTTTGTATAATGAAATCACATGTACATATTTCGTTGATGTGGATTATATACATTCGATGGCCAACTGATACCCAACCCCGCGATAAGGTTTAGTCAAGATGCCACGCAAGCCACAATTGGTCCCACTTCTTGACTCAGAAGTCGTTATGCAGGAGATGGTCTACTCTCGAAAGGGAAGGGAGAGGGCGGGACCCACTCATAGAAGCTGTGCATTGAATTAAAAAGTTGAAAAATTGGAAATCAACGTGGCGGAAAGATAAGTCTTCAACACCATTTCTGATTGTGGAGTCCAGTTGTACATTCAATCCATCTTAATCCCAGCATTTAGTATATTTATTAATGGTTGGGTCTGGATTAGATTCGAGTCGAGTCTAAGCCTTTTGTTACTAGTTTTACCCGTTTAGGTGAGATTTGTAATAAGTTCGATCTCAGTATATTAAATCATAGTTAAATTATTTATTTATTTTAATTGAAATAGTTCAATCCAATTCTACTCGTCAAATGTGACCTTAGCATATACATACGGTAGATGATATAAAGACATACATGAAATGTGTACAAATGTGGCCTTAGCATATACATACGGTAGACGATATAAAGACATATATGAAATGTGTACGTATATGTCATACGGTGGACTTAATTTTATAGGGGCAGGTTCAAGGCTTGCGGCTGTCAGTGCTTCTGTCCAGGAAGCCTAGCTATTAGCCAAGCAATAAGGGCACCCTACCTGCCTTTTACATATGTTACACGTAGAAGCTCCTCAATACCTTTCCCTCACGGGGACCACTGTGGTGGCTTCTCTTATAGGCACGCGGCCTACAAAGATTCCCCGCCGCCATACCCCTCTAATTCTCTCTCTCTCTCTATAGTCTACCATTCCATCACGTTTTATTTCGACCTTTTTCTCACCTTCGCACGTGCCGACCTACATATTTTTATCCCTCAAATCACGATTTATTTTTCGTTTTAAACAATACAAATTATTATTCATGGATAACAAAAGGAACTAAAAATTAGTGTTATTTATGCGTTTTTTAAATTATCTCAAAAGAATTTTTTTTTTAAACAATTTTTTTTCTTTTTGAGAGTGACGATAATATATTAAATTTATATACTATACAGATACTGCTATAATTCGAACTCACGACCTTTTCTAAAGAGAATATTTACTTCAAACCACTATACTTGTGGGTTTTTCGTATCTAACGAGTTTAAAACCAACGTATCAAACAAATCCTAATTCTAGAACCCTAAAAAAGTTAACAAAAGCTAAAATACAAGATTACCCATCCAAAGATTTGGATTATATGGGTACACGTCACCCACCATCTGTGATTTGTCTTGCTAAATGGGTTCTAATTAAGCATCTTGTCATGTCCGTACGACGGTAAACAAAAAAAGAAATGAAGCTTTGGAAACGTACGTTTGCGTTGGGTGGGCTTGATGGCTTTAGAACAAGATAAAGCTCTGGATTATTTTTTAAAAAAAAAGTTGTGGAAAGTTGTCCTCAATGGCTAGCTTAAGTTACAAGTCCACAAATCCCACAAGGACACGTATAGAAATAGAAAATCATTGCGAATTACCTTTTTGCAATCTAGAAACTTGAGGGGACTTGAACCTGGTTCAGGCCCCATGGACAAGGCTTTCAAAAGTATTGCACTAACTTAATTAATTACATATATATAATTAACAGTTTAATAAGGACGTGTAAGTAAAGATGGTGGAACCAATTATGCACATATTTTTTTATATTATATTTTAAAAATATCTCATCAAACATGCTTCTATAATGCAATCACTGGTTGAAGGGAAGAAAAAAAACAAAGAATCGTTTCAATTTCAAAGAAATATGAGATCGGGAGAAGAAGAAGAAAAATTAAATTAAATTAAATCTGAAATTACAAATTTCCTCACTCAAAAATAAAGGAAAGAAAACAGAAACCGAAAATAAATTAATCCACAATTAGATCTAAGTCCTTGTTCACAAATCCTATAAGCATGAAATAATCTAGAATATTATATTAATTCTAATTTTGATCATGGGTTTTGTTTCTAATTCCCGAAATAGGATTTCTTTACTCCCTTTGTTGGTTTTGATCTCTACAATGAATGTATATCACTTCGACCCCTTTTGTAATTAACTCGACACGTCCGATCATCAAATGTTGCTGAGCTGCTCTTGTAAGAACCACATGTCTTCAACATTCCACAGATTGTCCGATATGTCCCCAACGTCCACGCCCCACTGATAATTGTATTGTTGCTCCATGCCTTGGAAATGTTCCGATCCCAACCCTGGATTGAAACACTGGTCATAGCTACCGACTTGGTGATTTGCTTGGACCAAATAATTATCCGGGGTAGGGTTATTGTTAACCGAGATAGTAGTAGTAGCAGTAGTAGTAGGAGTGTAATAATCTGTCAGGTCGGAAACCGGGGACACTTGAGCCCCGAAAGAGTCTGATGAGGCCGCCGTGCTAGAGTTGTCCGGGGTGTAACTTGGTGTGACATGTGAATGTGACGATGCCCCAAAGTGGTGACTTGGTTGTAACAACATTTGTCCTGAAGAAGATTGGAAGGTGGTGTTGTTGTTGTTGTTGTTGAAGTGGTGAGAGGTGGCCCCTGCGGCCGTGGCGGTGGTGATGGAGGAATTGGTGGCCGCGGTGGAGGCAGCTGCGGCAGCTTGAATTCTTTCGACCAGCCTTGGCATCCAGAGGTACCTCATGGTGTCCTTGAACTGCTTGCTGTTGACGTCACATTTGAGTTGCTTGGCGTGCTTTTGGACACGAGTCCTCCAATAGTTTTTGATCTCATTGTCAGTCCTTCCTGGCAAGTGTTGTGCAATTTTTGACCATCTGTGATTGCCACAAAAACAAACATGCTGCTTTTTAGTTTTTACTTCTTAGGGTTAATTCAAGAAAACAACAAATAAAGGGCAGAAAAGCCATATTTAGATATAGATTAGAATTTATTATGATTCTGATTGAGATGTTGAATTTGGATAATTATAATTACCTATTACCCCAGCGAGAGTGAAGCTCAAGAATCAGAAGCTGCTCTTCAAGGGTGATGTCGCCCCGTCGGACGTCGGGCCGGAGATAGTTGAGCCACCGTAATCTGCAGCTCTTTCCAGTTCTTTTCAGACCTGGGTTGGTTGCAAAAGTTCAATAATTTTGTTAGATATTTGTGTAGCAAAATAATTTGAAGTAACTAATAATAATAATAATAATAATAAAGTTGTTTAAGAACAAACACTAGTACTTTATTATTTGCTCATACAGTCATTCCCATATATACTTTATGACAATTGGGTTCTCTAAAAGAAAGGTTTTCTTTCTCTCTTTCTAGTATCTGGGATAAGGCTAAAGAACAATCATCATGATCACGGAAGATACAGTTCACATCATCATCCATCCAGCATATGCTCAGCTCACAAATTTATTTTATTTTTACTTACTAATTTTCTTTTTCGAGAAAGTGAAGCTTTTCCCACTCTATCAAATCCTTGTCACAGGACCCAATAAGGAAGACAAAGAAAAAAGAAGAAGCATAGAGATTTCCAACCACAGCTCAGAAATTATAGGGTGGATGTTTCATTCCTTCACACGGAATTTTCATTTTAAGCCCAAAAAAAACCCCCATCTCAATGAAGCAAAGAAAAGGCAGAAAGAAGGTGCCCCAAAATAAGACCAAATTGATCATCACGTTGTGAAAAAAGTCATGGAAAATAAATTTACCTGCACAGCGAGCGAGGGAATTCCAGCGACCTTCGCCGTGGTTAGCAATGTAATTCATGAGAGCAAGGTCTTCTTCAACAGTCCAAGGCCCTCTTCTCAGGTCCATCTGGTCCTCAGCTTCCTTATGAATTTCATTTTCAATGGTGGCCGAGGCTGATGAGGAGTTGTTGCAGCCTCTTCCTCCTCCTTGAAGACCGTCCATACCTCTCTCTCTCTATATATATATTATGTATATATAGTTCCTCTAAGTGGACGCACTTGTTGATTGAAGCAAAAAGGGTTTGCTGGCTTTCTTTGCTTGTTTTGGTTGCTCTTGGAGATTATTAGAGAGAGAAAATGAGGGAGTTAGAGAGAGATAGAAAGAGCGAGGGGAAGAGAAGGAAAAGACAGAGGGAGTTGGATGGATGTACGGGAAAGATAGAGAGAGGGTTTGCTTTTATAGATGTATAGATGGGTTTGAAAATGGAGAAAAAATATTAAAGTTAAGCATGTGAGATAGAGAGAGAGAGAGAGAGAGAGGAGAGCAGAGCCGCAATGGGGACTTGTTTTGTAGTCTCTAATTAACTATAGTTTAATTAAAGTAATTAACACACACACTTAAGTTAAGCTCGTTAAAGTAATTATTATAGTTAGAAAGAGGCTTTGAAGTTTGACCTTTTGACTCTACCTCTCCCTCTCTCTCTGTTTGCGTGCGTCTCTGTGAATTCGTGCGTGCGTATACGAGTTTAGAAAATGGTTTTCTCCTTCTCGAAGCATGCTTGCCCTTTTTCTTTTTTGGGAGGGCACCATTTGTAACTTTTTTTTTCTTCTTAACAAATTCTAATTTGTAATGATGATGGAATGTTTTGTAGCAATTAAATACTCAGTTTTTTCTTCTATTCTTATTCTTATTCTTTTGGAACAACAGGATACTCTAATTAATTAGTTTAATTGATCTTGTGCTTGCTAATTGGATGCCATAATAAACTTCGCAAATCAGAATTTCTCTATAGAATCACAAGGAAGAAAAGCATAATTGAGGACCACATGATCAAAAGAATTACAAATCAACTTTATCTATGTATATATCGGCAGCACTTTTCCTTTACGAGTGGAGGATTCTTTTTTTTTTTAGGGGGGGGAGGGGTTAGGGCTCGTTTGGGAGTGTATATGTAGGCCAATAATCACTTCTATGGAAAAGCACATAGGAGGTGTTTCTCCTCAAAATTACTTAAAATAACTAAATGTGATTATATAAAGAATTCTTTTGTGTGGTCCTATTAACTATGTGTGTGCCCGTCAGATATAGTGGACTTTGAGATCTATATCTAACCCCATTGCCAAACAAAAATAAAATAACATAGACTTTTCTAATTCAAAAACGTAACATTTACTCTTATATTCGAGGTCCTAAGCTCGATTCCTACATCCCTAATATCAGTTGTATAAAACATAAATAAATAACCAATATAAGAATAATACACATCCTATTGATTACCTTTACTTCAATTATTTGTTGTAATTACAATTTTTTTTCTTTTTTTTTCTTTTTTTTTGCATGGATTGACAATTAAAGAAAAGAATACGTTCTTTTTTTTTCCCCCACTGGTAGCTAGTCGAAGCAAGCAATAGGCTACTAATAAATAGTCACAAACCCCAACCTACGGTCTGATGAGTGATGAGAAGAAGGTACAGCATTTGGCTGCTCACTGCTTATTTTATCTTTTGCAGTATCTTGGTAGACTTCTATCTATATATATAATCTTCTTCTAAATGATATTATTTTCTTTACACTTATTAACTTCAAGATAAACTCTTTTAGCACAATTTAATTGTCTGAGATCTGTCCCCACAAGTCCAATAGGTCGGCTTTGATTCACCACAAAATGGGATTTGGACCAATAATCTTGTATAATCATGCACTAATTTGTTTTTAATCACATCATCATTTACATTGTATAAAAGAGAGATTAATTAAAGGGAGACTTTGGAAAAACACAAAGAAGAGAGAAATTTTGTAAAAGAAGCCAAAATGGACAAAATTGCCCTTATTTATTTTTGGATTTCCTAAGGAATCCTTTACATTTGCATGTCTTTGATTTGAAAGTTGAGAGGTTTTTCTGTCTTTTTTGAAAAAGTTTTGGCTTTTTCCAAAAGTGAAAATTTTTTTTTGCTAAAACCTAAATTTACTTTAATGTAAAAGGCTGATAATTAATAGTTTTCATCCAAATAAATGCTTGGATTACCTAGCAAAAGGGCTAAAACTTTAATTAATTCCTTGTATTTAATTCTTATCCCACTTAAATTAAAGCACAGTTAGATGGCCATCAAATATCATTGCAAATTGGTGATTAAAGTTGCTCGAAAGTTGACAATGTGCTTGTGATAATTAAGGAAACGCAATAGATGTACTCCTTGATTCCGGTACCACTATTACTGTTAATTAATACAATTTTGAGATATTTACTCGTATAATCTTTCTTAGCTATAATTATATAGATAAACCCTACACTATTTAATTTTTATAAACAAACCTAAAAAAAAACTCAAAAAATAACAGCTAGCCTTATTGAATTTAATTTTGATTATGAAATTACTTTAATGCCCTATTGAGTGTTTTGGATTTTTTTTATGAGGTTTCGGGATTGGGTTTGTTTTAAGAAATCGATGAAAGTTTTGTAATTTATAAGAAGTCAAAAGCCTTTTTGTTATGTTGTAAATGAGCTTTGGGTGTGTTTTTAAAGTCCATTTCATATAGGGTTTTATTTATTTATAATAATTTGGACCCCTATATTGGGTATAATAATGAATCTCCCTATAACTTTTAATTAATTGAGAAAGTTTATTATTATTATTATTATTATTATTATTATTATTATTATTATTATTTTGGAGGACATTTCCTATTAAAAGGGGCGATAACATATTAAACTTACACAATACACGGATGCTAGGACTCGAACCTAAGACCTTGCCTGATGGAGTAAATACTCCAAACCACTACACTAGTGGATCCTTTGTTAATTGAGAAGGCTTTAGTCTAATGCAGTGTAATATATCTTTATTTTTGCTACTAAAAAATTTGGCTCGCTAATCAACTAACTCTTGATCTAGTTGTATATCTTATCTATTTTTGCTTCTTATTGTGTTTTTTGCCATTTTCTCTTTGTTTCCATATTAGCAAACACCACCACAAATATATGATATATCCTTAACTTCCATTAGAGGTTGGTTCTCTACCTTGGCATGGTGTTATAGGATAATAGTTTTGGTGGTGGATTTTCGCCATCAAAATTTTCTTATACAAAGGGCTCGAGAAGAAAATCAAACAAAGAATTCTGAATGTATATGAATAGATACTCTTAATCACTACTTGAGCTATCAATTCCTTAATTCCATCGTAAAATATTGACCATCTATTCACCACATGTTAACTTTTTGAGTTGCATAGATGTCTTATGACGCCATCAAACCTGTGAATTGGAGCATAGTTGGAAGGGGATTTTTGAAGATTAAAAATAAATAAATAAACAGGGAAAGAAAAAGGAAACTTGGATCATATATACAATGATATCATGAGAAACATACATACACACAACATGCACTTTGATCGACATATTTATAAAAGTAATCCATGGACACAATCTCTGTCCGATATATAAAAATAAGAGCAAATATTTGATGGCATGATCAACACGTGCTAGCTAGGGCCAATGCCTATTATGCAATGCATGCACCTTGCTAAATTTAAGGTTTTTATTATTCGTCTTCACTCAGTATCCAATTCCGGCTTTGTCTCTTTTATATATAGCAGGGGACATCTTTTCTGTTCTTCAAACTTTATCGTCATTTTGGTCGGAAAACCATGTCTGTGTTTCAAGTTTTTTATTAGGACGGTTGTCACATTGTCACATATACGTGTATATATCGTATCGTTAGTTGTTCTAATAAAATACTATCGCTTGTTTGGTGATACATTAATTTATCTTTTATATGAGTGTTATCTTTCTTTCTTCTTTCTTTCGGGCAATTTAAACCAATGAGTATCAAATTGCCATGGCCATGGGATGCAAAGCAAAGAAAGGGAACCAGCCGAAATATGAAAAAGCTATACAACAAAACATAAAAATAAATAAAAGGAAGAGGAATTGGGGTCACATGAAACATCACATACCCCATTTCCACCCGTGAGTTTTATATGTATATATATATTTGGTGGGACTAGCCCCTTCTGGTGATGATTCAATTAGGAGGGGAGCCAATACGAGTATGGCCAGTGTGAACTAAGGCCAAAATAAACACTACCAGGAAAAGGGCTAATAGGAATATATGTCACGGGTGTATTAGTGGTTTATAATGAGGTTTTCTAGTAGTGATATATCGATAACGTTTTTATTAAATTAATGGAGTTTTATGCAGGAATCTGCTACACATAGTAAAATTAAAGAGAAAAAAAAAATGGAGATGGTGGAGGCCTACAGAGCACGTATGGCAATGAATAAAGTGTAAGTGCCTAATAGCTATAGTTTAATTCATATGATGAGGCCTACAATGCTAGGGACGTACGTTAACTTTATATATATCACCTCTCAAGATTGAAACACACATCGATCGATCAAGTAGCTTTTTGTAGTGAGAAAGGAACATATCTCTATTCTACAAAACCAATCATGGCATCCCTTATGCCCTCTCCAATATAAGAAAAAAGAGAAGAAGAGAAAACCATTTTATTCATTGTTGATCTGATTCAACAACCCCAAGCCTTATATAAAAATTTGTATAACCCTAGTGTTCATTTTGTTTATCTTATATTTACTATCGAGGTAGTTAAAAGATAGAGAAGTGTTTGGAACAGTTATTTGTATACAAGCGAGTGACTACAACTATTGATGCAAAATGAGACATGCAATATGTTAATTGCTATAAATTATTAGTTGAAGACACCTCTGTAAAAGATAAAGACTGTAGAAATGAACTTCCCAAAAATCCAAATTTCCCTCTCCAATATAAATAAAAAGAGAAGAAAAGAAAACCATTTTATTCATTATTTTGATTCAACAACCTGATCCCTATATGAAAATTTGTAGAACCCTAGTGTTCATTTTGTTTATTTTATAATACAAATGTATTTATTATATAAAGTTAGGTTAAAAGATAGAGGAGTGTTTTCAACAGCTATCTATATACGAGCGAGTGACTATAATTGTTGATGCAAATGAGACA